ACAGAAAAAAGAAAAATAAATGTAATTTAATGAATGATGAATTTTATTTTTAATCGAAAAGAAAAGAGAAAATAGAATAATAAAGAAAATAATAAAATTTGTTATTAAAACGAAATCTAAAAAATAGAATAGTTTTTGAGTTAAGAAAGAAAATAAATAAATAAATTGAAAGGAAAAAGGGTGTAGAACTGTAAATTTCATATTACTAGAACAGTCATGGGAGTGTTCTTCAATGTCATTAGACCAATTGTTAGTCTTATTCCAACAATTAATGAACCAACTAAAAAGATTGGATTTAAAGAAAAAATGATGTGGACAGGAATTACATTATTGGTATTCCTTGTTTGCAGTCAAATTCCATTAATTGGAACAGATATTGTTGGTAATGATCCATTTTATTGGATGCGTTTAGTTATGGCATCAAATAGAGGAACACTAATGGAGCTTGGAATTTCACCAATTGTTACAGCATCAATGGTAATGCAACTTCTTCAAGGAGCTAAAATTATTTCAGTTGATATGGATAATCAAGAAGAAAGTGAATTGTTTGAAGCATCACAAAAATTATTTGGACTTCTTATGACTCTTGGACAAGGAATTGCTTATATTATGTCAGGAATGTATGGAGATCCATCAGAACTTGGATTTTTCAATTGTTGTTTAATTCTTCTTCAATTATTTGTTGCAGGATTAATAGTTCTTCTTCTTGATGAATTACTTTCAAACGGATATGGATTTGGATCAGCTATTTCATTATTCATTGCTACTAATATTTGTGAATCAATTGTATGGTCTGCATTCTCACCACTTACTACTAATGCAGGAACAGGATCACAATTTGAAGGATCAATTATTAATTTCTTCCATTTATTAATCACTAGACCAGATAAATTAGGAGCACTTTATGACGCATTCTTTAGAACTGAAGCAGGAAATTTAAGCAATTTAATTGCTACAATAGTAGTTTTCTTAACTGTTATGTATTTCCAAGGATTTAAAGTAGATATTCCATTATCAAGCAAACAAGGACGTGTTGAGTCTCAAAATTATTCAATTAGATTATTCTATA